GGGATGACAAGCAAACCCCAATTAACGAAGCTCGTTTAATCTGTCATACTACCGCCTGCCAGTAATCGTCATTATCAGCCTATGTCGATCCGCTACTGAATGAAAGCCTTTCCGATACTTTGCCATAAATTTGTTTTCTCTGAATTTTATACATCTTTATCCAAAGAACATCGGTTCATCCTGTTATCGATCTAGAGGTCTTCCTACGGGTTGTTATTTTCTCTGGTCCAGTGATAGTCGGTTGATTTTTTGCAGCGTGATCTATCATGTTCTATTTTAAATTCTTCACTCGGGCAATGACACTACAGACTGTTGTTTGAGCTTTTACCATTTCGTTGATCTTCCTATTTTGTTCTTGGCACTATAGTCATAAAAGCCTTCCAAAAATTCATTGAGTCGTCTGACAAGCGCACTCGTCAATTGCATCGTGTCCAGTTGGGATATTACGTTGAATCAGGAACATCTGTGGCTCTAAACATGGGAAGTTAAAAAGCGTTTGTGAAATAACGCAGAAAACATGGTGAACGGAGAAGATATGCAGAAGTTGAATTAGCTAAAGGGTGTTAGTTGTTGCATGCGCTTCAAACGGCTGCATGTGATCCCGTTGACCTCACTGACAGCTTCAGATACAGTAAACTTCAGTAGGAAAATTTAGATGTAAATGACCTCGTTTCTGTAAAATGAAATGAGGCAAGCAAACAGATAAAGAAAACAGAATAAGAACGAAGAAAAAGAATAAGCAAATTGAAAATATGAGAAGAGGAACAAGTAAAAGTACAAATTACGATAACCGAAAAATAAGAAAACAAACGAAGAAAAAAGGTTCTGCAGTAATATTCAGAAGAAACAAAATAAGGATAATGAATATTAATAAAATGAAGAGCAAGAATGAAAAGAATAAGAGTAATAAAAGAAAACTAACGAGGACGATAAGAAGAGAGAAAAGAAGAATAAGAAAAGGCAACAACAAAAACAAATGGAAGGAAAAGACAGAAAGAAGAGACTAGAACAAAGATGAAGAACAAGAATAAATTGAATAAAGAAATGAAAGCATAAAGAAATGAAAGAAGGAAACGAACAAGCAAAAGAAATCGAAAGAAAGATAAGTGACTGAACGATTTATGGTTCGGAGCACCAAATGCAACTGATGTCAAAACCTGTTTTTGCCAAAGCGTTTCGTTGCATCATCAGGGCTATGCATCTGAAAGTCTTATTTAACTCTAAAGAAAATACCAAAGAAAGAACAAAAAATTGAGAAAAAATAGTAATGAAAGCAAAAGTCAGAAGAGTTAAGCGTATTTGAGGAATAATAAAATGGAAAATAAGCCGCAAGAAGGATAAGAAGAAAATGCAGGCTCAATTTTGGAGAAAATAAGTACCACATGTCGAAATCACAAACGAAACCTAACGGTAATTTCGACATCTCAAAGTAAGGAGACGGTGTAGCACTGCCATAAAACCTGCTCTACTGACGTTCATTTTTATTCACTAGGGTAGAACTGTAAACGAAACTTTAAAGAAAAAGAAAAAAATAAAATGAAAATGCAGAATAACATGAACAAAATACGAAAATGGAAGGACAGGAACAAAATGTAGATGCAGAGGCTAGACTCTGACGACAATACGTCGCAATTACAATAAATGTCACTCGTTCTCAGCTAGCAAGCGCGACAGCCAGATAGTACGTAGTTCAAAATTTATTAATTATATTCTGATATCACAGAAAAATTTTGAGACAAGAAAAAATGAAAGATTGTTCATGGAAGTAGATGTTGCAACGGGCGGCCGGTTATCCCATCGATAGGTCGAACTGTGGTTAGACCATCATCGCACCCCCTCGCGGGTATCTGCTGTCACTCAACCGCTACCGAAGATATTCGATCGACGACTGCGGCCAGAATGGAATTAGGTGACAGACACCTTTCCGTTGCATACGCAGACGATGACGCAGCGAGACAGTCAGACATGCAATTAAAATGTGGGCAACACGACGATGCGGAAGAAACAAAAGCGTACTGCTACTATGAGGAAAGGAGGTCAGAAAAATTGCCGTTTTTAAGGCGGGCAAAAAAACACTTTTATGAACAAAGCAGAGTAGTTGCAGTTGCCCTTCGTTTAAGGTGCTCTTACTGTGGTTTGCGTATAATTCAGTGGTGCTACGAGAGAATTACTGTCGGACTATCGAATTATAGCCGCCATATGAGGAGCAAAGAAGCAGTCTTCGTTACATGCTCATGCTTTTAAGTGAACCACGGAGTAGGGCGTCGAAAATCTGCGGTTCAGCGAATCATCGGAAACGGTGACGCGCTGAAGGCTGGCAAACACTGGCACGACTATGGCTTCCTAGGTTTAGCAGCCTGTTACTTTACTGGCTTATTTACTCGCCAAGTCAGAGTGCTATAGTCTTAAGCAACCTTGCACCCTCTTGCGTCATACTGTCCGCGCCTGTTAACTGGTTAGATTCCCTCTTTATATAGCATATTGCCAGCGTATTTGAGAACTGTTCCACTATTCACACCGCTGCATATGTTGGGTGACATCTGCACCTCCCTTCGCAGAAGAACCGAACCAATGGTGCAGTTTCCTGTCGATTCAGCTACACTGGCTATCCAGAACAATTAGAGATCGACTGAATGACCGACCAACGTGCATGATCGATTACGATCAGTTATCAGTTTACGTAGTCTAACCAACATCAGCAACTGGTCTGCCAATGTTAATCAAGTGTGGCCATCAGCGTTTCAACTTTTTTATGCAGAGACTGCGCACACATTAACAGCTAATTTACCTCCCCCCCCCATAGTGCTGTGCTCTGACGCAACCAGGAGAGAAATGGGTAGCAAGTCGCTGACCTGCGAATAACAGGGGCCATATAAAGTTCAGGTGTACCCATGCAGAATGGATGTTGGAAACTGACGATGCCGTACAGCACAGTACATACTGATCGCTTTGACCCACCTAACGGCTGACTAAATCAGTGG